AATTTGTTTTACCAATCAAATGCATTTATTATATATTTTACTTTTGAACAAACTGTGCACGTAGCCTATCTATCAGGTGATCGCTGCGCCTAATATCTGCATTTACCTCTCTTCACTTCATTCTGGTGTATAGAAATGGTCATGCAAAGAACAATCTTCGATAAGTAAAAAATGTCAACTATTATAAAAAAAAATTAAATGGTGAGAGAAAAAATTAGGAGAGAGGGGAAAACATGAGTGTCACTAAAATCCACAACTAGTTTATTTTACTAAAGCTGATGATGGAGTGGGAGTTGTGGAACCGCAAATGGACCGGACACATGGAGCAGATAAAAATACAGCGTCATTATCCCCACAGATTTTAGGTTAGTTTGATTATTAACTTGATAGATGTTGCTAAGCATTGTGGTTTAAAAACTAATTTAACTGTTCAAGGACATTAAGAAGTGGGGCAGAATTCATTTTGGCAAATGTGCGCATTAAGACAGTTTCTGATACGCGCGGAGCACACTTGCTCGTACAGCGCCTGACTAATCTAAGAGTTATTTTTCACGCCTTGTGTTTAAACGTTCGAATACACATAGTTATGTGTCAAAATGCCTTTCTCCTTGTCAATACAGTCATTTGTGTCTTAAATGAACGTTAATAGTTAAAGATAAAGCATGTGCACTAGTTGGCTATTATGAGATCCTGGCATTATATGATGAGATTTTAACGGGATAGTTCACCCAAAAAATTAAAATACTGTCATCATTTACTCAGTTTCAAGTTGTTCTGAACCTGTATGAATTTCTTTGTTCTCCTCAACATAAAAGAAGATATTTTGAAGAATATTCGTAACCACCAGAAAGTTTCTGGTCCCTGTTGACTCCAATAGTGGGTTTTTTCATACTATGGAAGTCATGGCGGCACAGAAACTGTTTGGTTACCAGTAGGCTATTGTTCCAAATATATACGTTTGCATTCAACAGCAGAAGGAAACGCATTCAGGCTTAGAACAAAAACAACATTACCTCCAAAGCAGCCTAATATAGCTGCTCTTGCCATTTGTGTCAATAATGTAAATTAAACATTAGAAAGAAAATCACTCACTGTCCTTGACCGAATCGCTTTTGTAAAATAATGTATGTTGAATTTATGCAGTGAAGACTATTCAGTCTATTTGTAGTCCATTTATTTTATACAATATAATATTTCTTATTCGGAGCTTTAAGTGTTTGTAGGTCAATTTCTTTGTTCTACTGTAATTCATGACTGTTTACTTGTCTTCAGTAAGTTTGTTTTTACTTAGGCTAGTATTTTTTTATTTTTTATTTTGTGATATTGGAATTGGTAACAAGAATTGTGAAATTGCAATGCATCAAAAATTTTGATTGGATAAAAATTCTATTTTAAGCTATATATATCATTATTGTGATGGGGGGGCCCTGCAGTAAGTCATAGCCCCGGGGCCCAGTGAGGTCTTAATGCGGCCCTGATGGTAAGATACACCTATTTGCAGTATCAAGCAGCAAAACGAGTGGTTTTGTACAGCTAAAAATAGCTGGAAGCAAATGAGACCGGAAGCAAGACCAATATCATTTACAAATGGCCACGCCCATTTTTACATGAAGAATAAGGTGGATACGCGAGTATCCAGGCAGGTGTGTTGAGGCAAGTTGGAGCTAAACTCTGCAGGACACTGGCCCTCCAGGACCGAGTCTGGTGACCCCTGGTTTAACATGTTAAAGATCAGTGTTTCTCACCCTTTTTTTTGTTTTATGCACCCCTATAACACTTTAATATAATAAAGTGGCTTTAATAATATTGGTGCCAGATTATATCTAGTATAATAGATATGTTATTGTAGTATTGTTTACTATTACAGTATTTATGAATCTTTTGAATTAGCTTTTATTTTTACATTTGTATTGTTTTTATTTTAATTTTAGTTTTTTTTTTTTTTTGTGATTTTTTTTTTATATGCTTTTGGCAGTGTTTTTAGATTAGAATTGTAGCTTTTGTAACTTTAGTGCTTTAACTTATTTAAAATCAGTTAGCTGCCAAGGCAAAATTTCTTATTTTTATCTAATATTTAATTTTTAATATTTAGTTTTTTATTGTAGTATTTATATTTTATTTTATTTATTTAGTCTTCATTTTATTTCAGGTATCATTTTCATTAATATTATTAAAGTCACTTTTAACCCCCAAAAAAACAACAATACTATGGGTGAAAAGCTCACTGTGTAGCAAAAGTTTATAAAAGTTGTAATTTTAAACAGGCTGTTTATAAGTAAATTAAAGCTTATAAAACTGTATAAATAGTCTAATCTATTTACAAGTTAAAAGTTCTTTATACATTATTAGCCGGGTTAATGCAATGAATTATAAGCCAATCAGATACCAAGAAAGAAGTTTAAAGGTGTTAAAATTCTCTTGTGAGGACTCTGCTCTTTGGTCAGGCAGACCTTCATTTCTTCTGATGAGTATCAGATAATTTCTCTCCCTACTGAGTACTTTGTCTTCCCTGCACATGCTTTATAAGGGAAGGAGTGTGTTGTTGCCCAGTTCACATAAGGAAAAACACCACATGGAGAGATTTTAATTTTTATGGGGTCATAAATTATCACAGTTGATTACATGCAATGTAAAGCACTTTTTTGTACAAGTTTGTTTGACACTACAAGATCCCAAAGCTTACTATAATACAAGGAGACATTTAATAAATGAAGTCGTGGAGCAATTTTTATCACTTAATGAACCTAGGCGATTTGAATGAGAAACTATTTTTCTCCATTCTTTGGAGCAGTCGAGACATTTTTCAGATCTGCTAGATTTCCTTTGAGTAGACTGTTTTCTTCTGGCAGAGAATGAGAATGGATTGGGTTTCACCATATTTGGTCACTGGGATTAATGAGATTTTTTTTTTCTTCCGTTGTGATGTTCAGTGACTTATTTTGTACATTAGACCACCGCAGCGCTGTGATTGAGTAAATATACAGAAAAGGCTGAGTAAATATACAGAAAAGGCTCATTTATACATTTGCAACGTTGTTCGCATGGGTAAGCGGTCAAGAAATCATGCATGGCCTTTAAAGAGTATGTTTTTTCTTTGCTTGAGCAGAACCTTTTTGCGTTTGGAGACGTTGATGGTAAAGGCATAGATGCAAAACTGCAGCATCCATTAGGAGTGTCCTGGGATGAGGGCAGCAGCCTCCTCTATGTAGCCGATTCTTACAATCACAAGGTTAGTCTTTCTGCACCAGACACTGCACTGAATGCACTGAAGTCCTATTGAGTGACTTTTATTTTAAAGCTAAAATAAACTTTCAACACTATATGTATTTACTATATATGCATGTGTATGTATGTATTGCATAATAAGAAATGCTGATTTCTTACAGCCTTCAGGATTTATTAGAATTCATTATTTATTTGCAAAAATTAATCAAATTGTAGCCCCAGTATATATTTTGACACTGAAGCAGCATTTAAAAACGGATTGGATAAAATCAGCGTAAGAGTCATTTTTTAAAGAAAGAAAGCTTAATACACTTTTTAAAGAAAACATTTGACAAACGTATTTTTGTGAGCATTAACCCTATTTTATTATTATTATATAATATTTTTCACTTGAATTTTTTTGTTTTTATTTGGGAATCTTTTTCAAATTCTCACACTTATTTACTTAATTTTCTTCTACCTCAGGCCATCAAAGATGTAGTTGAGTTTTTTTTTTGTTTTTTTTCCATTACAACAGATTTGGAGAAATTTAGAATTACATCACTTGCTTACCAATGGATCATCTGCAGTGATTGGGTGCCATCAGAATGAGACAATCTATACTACTGCTTTCTCCAGTAGAAAAGTTGTCTCGTCTGAATCATGAGAGAAATATGCACAGATAAAGCACCAAAAATGGTTCTAATCAAATATGTAGGTGGATTTTAAGGTGTGAGGACAACAGGGGATGGACTTTTTCACTGGAGGAAGCATTATTATGGAATATGGACTCATATTTTGGCCAGAAGCGATAAGTATTTCTTCACAAAACGTTAACTGATGGACTGGAGGCGTGTGGATCACTTGTGGATTATTGTGATGTTTTTAATCAGTTGTTTGAACTCTCATTCTGATGGCACCCATTCACTGCAGAGGATCCATTGGTGAGGAAGTGATGTAATCCTAAATTTCTCCAAATCTGTTCCAATGAATGAACAAGCTCTACGTTTTGGATGACCTGAGGGTGAATAAATTTTCATTTTTGGGTGAACTATTCCTTTAACCACAAAAAGTGGTGCAAGTTTTTGAATGGGCAAGCACTACCAGTGGTCAATGACTCCATGGTCATGAAGGAGCTTCTTCTCCGTTGCAGATCAAAGTGGTGGATCCGAAGACTAAGCAGTGCAGGGTGCTTGCAGGCACAGGGAAGGCTGGGAATGGACTTGGCCCGTGCTTTCTGGAGTCCAGCTTCAACGAACCCGGAGGCCTGTGTCTGGGTGAAGGAGGAAAGCTGCTGTATGTGGCGGACACCAACAACCATTGCATCAAAGTCCTGAACCTGCAGACCAAAACGGTCTCTTTGGTGAGTCCCCACATGTGGATTGTCATTTGTCAATTGTCATTCTTAACGATTGGCTTATTGTTTTCTCTCTCTTTTTGCACCAGTTTCCCATTGTTGTTCAGCAAGAGGTTGATTCTGCCACTAGCAGCACACCTGCGGTCAGAAAGCTTCCCAAACTTCCAAAATCAGCCCCAGTCCTTACAATGCCATCAATCACAGTTTCTTCAGGGCAGTCAGTCACTCTTTTTCTGAAATTGGCACTACCGACTGGGACCAAGCTGACTGAAGAAGCCCCTAGTTTCTGGAGCTTATCTGCAGAAGGTACAAAATCAAATGTATCCAATAAGAGCATCTTCACTAGCTCTCAATGCCAATTATGTAAAACGTGTTTATTTACATGCAGTTTTTCACACCTTGTACACTATTCCTCTGGGGCACCTCCGTGGGGTGAACTATAGTTTTCTGTTTGCTGGATTGCTGTGTTCACACATTTTCAGCAGGCTTTAGGGACCAGCTGGCCATACTGGGAGATGATCCAAGGATAAATAAACAATTCCTCTATGCATCCCAACACACGGTCAACCCTTCATTCTATCTTACCCTTCCTATCTCGCTCTCTTTTTTTAGCATCATCATTTCTGCCTCACCCTCCGTCCGTCTGCTGCAAAATTTGTCTTTCCTGTTGTCTCTTCTCTCAGTTCTTCTGCACAAAAACGTCAATCCCACCCGAAAGCACGTCTTCCATGATTGATAATCAGCCCAGTCACCAGAGACGACTTCTGCTCATCACACTGATTGTTTGTCTACGCTCCGCACCAGAACATTTTACCATGCAATAAACAAGCACCTAATTAGTTTACGAAAGTGGTCGTAGTTGAAGTGACAAAAAGTCCCGGGGGGCTACTCTGCATAATTAGAACAAAGACACCCATTAGGACCAGAAAAGCCTGAACGGCTGTGGGCGTTAAATTCTCAGAAACGGCAGCTACTAGTTCTGTCTGACTTTGATTGACTGACTGTAATTATTCACCAAATTACCGTGAGTGCTTGTATGTGGGTGGCTTCGCATGTGTAGTAGTTACTAGTGTAAATGTTTTGTGTGTTATATGTAAATACAAGTGTGCGATTATGTATTATCATTATGTAAATGGTTATATCAGCAAGCAGGGTCAGAAATGAATGGAGACTTGGGGAAAGTGCCATCAAAAGTGACAAAAAATATATGTGACTTCAATTTTTATGATTTTATATTCACTACTGTTCAGAAGTTTGTGGTCAGTAAGTTTTTGTTTTGATTTTTGTTTTGTTTTGTTTTAGAAAAAATGTAACTTGTTCAGCAAGAATGCATTCAATTGATCAAAAGAGATGTTTATCATTACAAAAGATTTTTATTTCAGATAAATGTCTTACAGTTTCCACAAAAATATTAAGCAGCACAACATTTCAAACACTGATGATATGAAATGCTACTTGATCACCAAATCATCATATTAGAATGAATTCTGAAGGATCATGCTGAATGTCTTTTGAATTAATTATATATTCTAAAATATAGTAAAATAGAAAACTCTTATTTTACGTTCTTGTAATATTGCTGTATTATTGTAATCATTTTAATGTAATTTAAATATAATGTATTTGATTTTATATTATTAAAATTGTAGGCTTCTGTAGTTGCATAAACAGATTTTATTTAACGAGAACGGCCTTTAGGTATTTAGAATTTATTTGCATAATTCTTTTTTTTTTTTTTTTTTTTTTTTTTTTTGTTTTTTTTTTTAAATTTCTGCGTAAATGTATTAAACTGTAGTACAATTGCCCTAGTAAGTATTTGCACACTTAATCAACATCAAACTAATGTTATATGATTAGATAACTAAATATCAAACATGGTGTCATTTATTTTATTGAAAGACCATTTGATTGTACTTTTAAAAATAACATTTGATACAGAATTTTTTTTAGCTTTCAAAAGATAAATCAACAGATATAATGTGAAAAATATGTAAACATGCCGTCATAAAAACATTTTTCTGGCAGTTTATGTTTTGTACTCTGTGCTTATGTTTTACGTAGGTCAGCCCTGTAGGTCTTTGCACACGTCCTCTCTGGTTCGGTCTCACTGGGGATCATTTGATTGGACGCTGTCCTAATTCTATCTGGCACTTGTCTTAGTAGCCTGCCCTTGATTCAAGGCCAGTGACACACCTGGTACACACTGCATTGCAGAACCATTAACAAAAGGCGTTTCCTTTCACCGCTAACGCACATGATTCCCTACTGAAATTGTGTTTGTATGCATATTGAAAGTCCCCATCAACTGCCAGAGAAATATTTCATTGTGTTGGCAATTGTATATGTGTTGTTTTACACCCAGACACATGGTGCTTCAGGAACCAATGCCTTCCAAACAAACATCAGCCAGAAATATCAAACGTTACAGGAATCGTCCATCGACTGCACACTAAGCCATGTTGTTTTTCTCGGCAGGTAACGAGTGGTTACTGGAAGGGCGAGCTGTAACGGGGAGCATCAGTGATCTCTCTGAACCTATCTCGATCGTCTCATCCATCCCAGCGGCCCCTGCATCCCCAGACCCCACACTGACGCTCGACGCCTGGGTTTACTGCTGCCTTTCTGAGGGCGGGGCTTGTATGATGAAGGCAGTGTCCTTTAAACAGCCTCTTCTGATTGGTTCCACATCTCAGGAAGGTTCTGTTGCCGTGATGCTTGAGCATGCCTTTTAAAATGAGTGTCCACCCAAAGGATCTTGGAGCACTTTTAAAGGGATACTTTACCAAAAATGAAAATTCTGTCATCGTTTACTCATCCTAATGTCATTCCAAAACTGTCTGAATTTCTTCAGTGGAACACAAAAGATGATGTTCTGAAGAATCCCAATGTTGACAATTTTGGTTCATATTGACTTGCATTGTAAGGACAAAAATTACAATGGAAATCAGTGGGAATCAAAACTGTTTGGTTACCAACATTATGAAGAATATTTTCCTTTACGTTCCTCAGAAGAAATAAAGTCATACAGATTTGAGGCTGAGTAAATAATGACAATGTTCATTTTTGGGTCATCCAAAAATGATAATTTGTGTTTCCTCACCCTCATGTCATTCCAAACCTGTATGACTTTCTTCTGTGAAACACACAAAAAATGTAGAACAATGACTTTTTTTTTCATACCATTAAAAAAATAAAAAACTTTAGTGGGATTTATTGAGGTTTTGTATAGAAGCTCGTTTCTGCCATGATATAAAAAATAAAGGTAATTGCGAGACTCAAAATTTAAGATATTTTTTCTTACAATTCTGAGAAAAAGAATTCTGAAAACATCGTAGTTGTGAGATATAAACTCAGAATTCTGACTTTATTCTTGTAATTCTGTTTATACCTCCCAATTTTGAGTTTACATCTTGCAATTTTGTTTTTTTGTTTTTCCGCACCATGGAATAAAAAAAGGTAATTGCAATTTTTTATCTTACAGTTTTTCAATCTCAGCTTTTTCTCTCACAATTGTGAGTTTATATCTCACAAATTGCAGTTTTCTTGCAAATCTGAGGGGGGGAAAAGCCAGCATTGTGAGAAAAGTTCAAATTGTGAGATATAACATTAGTTGCGACGGGGAAAAAAGTCAGAATTGTGAAAAAAATCACAATTACCTTTTTTATTTTTGTATCCTGCGGTGGAAACAAGCTTCCATAATTTTGGACCCCATTGGCTTTCATTATATGGACAAAAATATATTTTTCCTCCTTTTGTGTTCCATAGAAGAAAAACAGAACGACATGAGGATGAGCAAATGATTTTTTTAGGTGAATATCCTATTAACATTCAAATCACATCCTGCGGTTAACACATACTGTAATAATCAGACACTTCACATGCTCGTCATCAGGCTAATCAGACAGATTGCAAGTACTAATTGTAGAGACAGGATCTGACTGTTAAATCTTGACAAATATTGAACAAAGTGCCTCATTCTCAATATTTTTTGTGGTTCTGCTAGGGGTGTTTCACATGATTAAGCTTGTGTAATGCCTTTGTCAGATAGCCTGATATCATTATCAGCTATCTTCATTCAGTCACTCACATGCTCTCACACAATAATATTTGAAATAATGCTGTGTAGTGTAAAAATGTAGCCAGTGTCAGCTGCTCTGATAGCCCTTCATGGTTGGGTTGGCTGATATTATTATTATTTCCCGCACTGCACTTTTTTTTCTTAACCATATGATACCGTAAGCCAGTCTTGTAAATGAGCAGTCAGACTTAATGCTATTTAATTGGCATTATTTGTTATTGTTTACCAGGCTTAAGTGCCTTTTCAATGAGCAATACACTTTATATGAATGAGCTATGTGTTGGAAATCAAGCGGTGACATTAATTTCAGTGTTCAATCTTTTGTGGAATCGAATCATGAGCCAGTTACATCTACATATTCATGTTTTCTGAAATAATAGCCTCTCAGTGCTGTTAAGCATTAGCAATGGAACTACAATGTATTCCTGATACATCATAGATCATGTGCTTGCAGATCATGCACTCGCAGAGTATGAGTGTGAATCAGACCAGGTGATTCTTTTAGACACTGTGTAGAAATGGCCTCTAAAATTGTTCTGTTGCTGTTTTTGCTTGCTTTTCCTGTGGCAGTTCTAGCCTATAAACTATTTAATAAAAACAATGTATCTCTCACTCTTTTGAGGGCAGCTCTTTTATACAGCCTCCAAATTCTGCACTTTAACAGATTAATTGGATGCAGTGGTCTAATAAAGTTTATTTTCCCAGCATTTATGTGTTCAGCGTTTTCATATCCTCCTCACTACAAACAAGGACCAATGCAATCCTTGTAAATGACAAAAGACCATCTGTTCCAGCAGAGATGCTTCATGGTGAGAAAGATTTCAGTGGTCATTTTTTTAGGTTTGATTTGTTAATATAGAGCAACAATTTGTTTCACAACATTTATTGATTTAGTCTATTGTCAATTTATAAATATACCATTGATTAATGTTAATTCATGTTTGTCATGTGATACATTTACTCAATGTTATTCATATAACTTTGAATTTGAAATGCTGAGAAGAATATGTAAAAATAATATAAACTGATTAATAAATGGTGTAAAATTATTGTATATTGTTGGTTAATGATACCGTTCCATGGTTTGGGGTCAGTAAGATGTTTTAATGTTAAAGTTTTTTATGCTCTCCAAGGCTGCATTTATTTGACCAAAAATAAAGTAAAAACAGTAATATTGTGAAATGTTATTACAAATTAAAATGTTTTCTTTTTGAATATATTTTAACATTTATTCATGTGAATTTTCAGCAGCCATTACTCCAGTCTTCAATGTTACATGATCCTTCAGAAATCATTCGAATATGCTAATTTGGTGCTCGAGGAAGATTTCTTATTTTCAATGTTGAAATGTTAATATTTTTGTGGAAACCATAAAACATTATTTTCAGGATTCTTTAATGAATAGAAAGTATAAACATTATAAATGTCTTTACTGTCTCTTTCAATAAATGTAATGCATTCATGCTGGGGGGAAAAAAATTGACTTGTAGTGCACTATTTAGTTGACTAATGTTAATGATTGATTATCCTATTTGTAAAGTTGTTATTTCGGTGAAGATCCACACACACACACTAGATGACCGTGTGCTCCATTCACTAAAGTGTTTGGCTGTCTAAAAAAGTGGTATTGCCACCACGCTCCATTTCCTTGGCTTAATGTTCTCAGCCATTCCAAATAAAGCTGAGCTGTGAAAATATATGCTTTGTGCTGCTGAATGTGATCCTCATAATCTCTCAGCAAACAGCGAATGCCATCAGAATGTTCATTTCCACTCACAAGAATCCCCCAGAGAAGCCACAGCGCCCATTACTGTGCAACAGGCTAATATTTAACCAGAAAGCACATTACCAATCAGAGCCCGAGTCCATATGCAGGATTAACAGAAGCGTAAACAAGAAATAGAACATTAGAATTTAACAGGCAGTCAATCAGACAGCTGCTTTTTGACACACATCTGCTTTCATCACAACAGCTCACAGCAGCAGTGAAAGAGCATTTGCACTTGAGATGATTACGCACTTGCAAATATCATTGTGCAAATTTATGAATTTAGCAAAGACGTTCCTGCAATTTTGGATTGGAGGGGGAAAACACTCAGGTTCTCTTTGCCAGAATCACCCATAATTT